CTATACTATACTATACTATACTATACTATACTATACTATACTATACTATACTGACTATACTATACTAGTTCTATTATTCTACTCTAACCTATAATAGCCTACCTTACCCTATCCTATCCTATTCTATGTCCTCCTCCTTTCTTAATTGTGGCCATCAATCCGCTGTATTGCTCATTCTGCAGCCCTTTGCACCCACAAGAAAATCAATGGGAAGATTTTAGAAGGGAAAGGAGAAAGCAGTTTTTTAAGACCCTGCAATGCATCGTGCAACAAAAGATATAGCAGAGGGAAAGATCTGCAGATCAGGCCAGACTTTGTAAGGTGGAAAAAGAAAAAGAAGGGCCAGAACAGTATCTATCTATCTGTAGAAAGCTCCCTATGATTAACCAGGTTTCTAGGCGTTGAAAAAAAAATATCTCTTTCAATTTGTTTTCCTTCTTCCATGCCTTCAGCCCAAAAGGAAAACAAAAGCAACTGAAGATGCAGCCTAAAACAAACTTGAATACCTCACTGCCTTTAACTAGGACTAATTCTTCAGTTTCATCTCATGGTAAGTAGGATTAGTTGGTTCATATATTCATTCATTCATTCATTCATTCATTCATTCATTCATTCATTCAATCAGTCAATCAATCAATCAATCAATCAATTTGTACAGCCAATCACCTTGGCAAGGGACTCTGGAGGGCAAATCACCTTAATAAATTAAAAACATATTTCAAGTGGGCATGCCATCAACTTTTACTCCTGCAAGCTGGATTCAGTTCAGATCAGTAAATATCAAATTATTTTCAAGGATGCTCTGTGTTACCCTAGAATTGATATTGGAGAGATATTTGGGGTCAGTAGGCTTCAGTGTGGCCATAAATACCTCCCCGAGGGACCATTCATTTAAATAGGCATATATATATATATTTGCCTAAACTTAGCAAAAAGCACGAATCGTAAAACTGGTCTTAAAAATGACCCACCCAACGTGTCTTCGCATGATTGAGGGGAGACAACGCAACCTTTTATAATGACCAGGGATGTTTTAAGGGCCATAAAGCTCTCGTTCTGTGGCCATTGTAAGAATGAACACTTGTAAAACAACTGGTCATTAAACGAGGACTACCTGTAATTAGAAGAAAGCTACCAAATCCATAATCTGTTGCAGGCTGATGTTAAGCATCAGAGAGTTCGCTGCCTTGAACAATATAGAGTGGCCCCTGCAAATAGCTTTTGCTCTGGAAAAAAAAAACCTTCTTCTCTAGGATTTAGGCTGAAGTTTCATTTCTATTTGATATTTTTCCCCAAACGGATCCATTGCAGAGCATCTCCTTAATAGCAATAGCACTTAGACATATATACTGCTTCACCGTGCTTTACAGCCCTCTCTAAGCAGTTTACAGTGTCATTTTGCCCCCAGTAATCTGGGTCCTCATTTTACCGACCTTGGAAGGAAGAAAGGCTGAGTCAACCTTGAGCCGGTCAGGATCGAACTGCTGGCAGTCGGCAGCAGTCGGCAGAAGTCACCTGCAGTACTACATTTTAACCACTTCGCCACCACGGCTCTTAAGTTTCAGATACAGAGGAACCCCCTGGTTCAGCTACTGCCGAAGAGATGGAAAGGCAGCCCTCCTCCTCCTCATCTGGCTCCAACAGCAGCCAGAATCGTAGCGGAAACGATGTCGAAACAGGAAAAAATAAGCCAGTGAGAAATAAATCCACACCAGTGAAACAAGGTAGGAAACTGCAGAAAACAAAGTTTGTCCCTTCCTTTCCCCCCCCCTGCAGATTTTCCTTTTGTTGATTAACCTTTCCACATAAACTCTCATGAATTGGTGCCTTTCACGCTTAGCAACCTTAAGATGTGTGGACTTCAACTCCCAGAATTCCCCAAGCAATATGCTTTTAAGTTCTACGTGCTGCTGGCTGGGGAATTCTGGGTGTTGAAGTTCACACATCTTGTAAGCTGCCAAGATTGAGAAACATTGCCCTAAATTAGAAGTGAATTGTGGGGGGGGGGGGGGGGTCTTTTTTTTTTTTTTTTTTTTTTGATTTAATAACATGGTAGCTTATGGGGGACTCAGTTTTCCCTGGGAATGGAGAAGTGCAAAATTAGCAGGGACTCTTCCCACTTCGATCAGCACTGAAGCAGCCCCAAGAATATGACTCTAGAAATGGCATGCTACGTTGATGCTAAGCACGTGAGATGGCCTGCAACGGTTGTATCGTGTTGTATTCCTACTAAAATGCAGCAATCCACTGTTGCAGAGATATTCCAGGTTGAGTTTTTCTCTACCCCAATATACCGTATTTTGTTGAGTGTAAGACGCACATTAGTTTTTGGGGAGGAAAACAAGAAAAAAAATTCTGCCTCTGCCTACCAGCATTCATCGTTATTCATCTGGCTAGTGTCGTTGCAGCAAACAGCCTGGTCAGCTTCAGCATGTTATTGCAGCCTGATTCAGCACGAGCAGCTGATTGGTGGTTGGATTGGCCTCCCGGAATACCGCCAATCAGCTGTTCCAGGCTGCGGGGATTGCCACAGCCCATCACCACCTCCGCACGTCATTCGCATTTTCAGGTAGTTCCAGCCAGCGGGGATTGCCACCGCGCTGCCGATCTCCGCCACCTGGAACTGGCTGTAAATGTGACACATGGAGGCCAAAGTCAGGGCGTGCAGAGGCCAAAAATGCGACACTCAGATGCCAAAAATGCGACACGCGAAGGCGGCGATGTGCTGTGGTAATCCCCACAACCTGGAACAGGTCTAAAATGGGTTGTGCAGAGGCCAAAAATACAATGTGTGGAGGCCGAAAATGGCCGAAGGGTGGAGGCCGGTGGGTGGGTGGGGCTTCAACAACATTCGGTGTATAAGATGCACCACACTTTGGGGGAGGGGGCGGTAAAAGTGCGTCTTATACTAGAGATGTATGGTATATTGTGGGATGATCTATTCAGACAACAAGTCAGTTACTGGTTAGCGAACGTAGTAAGTAAAATTGTTCACATAAGTTTGGGTTTTTTTTCACCAATGTGCCACTTACTGGTGATAATTTGGTGTTAGTATTCACATGTGTGTCGATTTGGATCTCTCTAGATCAGCCTTCTGAAAAGCCTCTGACGAACGGGGACGGGAAGGAATCTCGAACGGGAGTCAAGAGAAAAATTTCCAGCGCCTCTGAAGAGGAGGACGAGGGCAGCCAAGAGAAGAGAGAACCGAAAGATAAGCCTGGTTTATCGTCCGAAAGCGGAGACTCCCGTTCGGGCTCCAGTTCCGAAAGCAGAGGTGGCTCCGACTCGGATTCAGAATCCAGTTCTAGGACAGATCAAGACTACATCGACGGAGACCACGACTACAGCAAATCCGTAAAAGTGAAACCGAAAAGAAAAATCCGAAGGAACCTTTCTAGCGGCAGGAGAAAAAATTGGCAAGGCAGGGGGACGGGAAGGCGAGGGCGCTGGGGCCGGTGGGGGAGGTGGAACCGAGGGGGCCGAGGCAGCCGGGGAGGAAGAGGATGCAGCCAGGGAAGAAGAGGAGGCAGAGGAGGAAGAAGAGGCCGAGGGAGAGGAGGCTCGCGGGCCAAGCGCCCCCGCATGGCCGAGGACGAGTTCGAGAACCTTTTCGGCGGACGCTTCAACGAGAACACCTTCGGCGGACGATTTAGCCGGCCCCCTCGGATTAAAACCAGGAACGAAGGCCGGCGAACCGTTTTGTACAACGACGATTCGGACAATGACACTTTCGTGCACACCGAGGATCCCCTGAACCTTGGCACTTCCAGGTCGGGCAGGGTACGGAAAATGACAGAGAAAGCCAGGGTTAGCCATCTCATGGGATGGAATTATTGACCCCCGACACGGTGGTTGGTGGTGGCGGGGGGGGGATATTGGCGGTGTGGGCAGGGGAGGAGAGACCCTGAACAGCGACGTTAGGACTTCCAAGGCTTTTTAAACTGCAGGGATTTCACGCCAGAAAATCTGCTAAGCAAATTGTGGGGGAGGGAATCTGTTGATTCCCACCCCCTCACCTCCCCCTGGTGCTTTTCATATGGTTTTCATGTGTTCGGAGGCTTCTGCTTGCTGGCCGACGCGGGCTATGAAAGTCTTCTTTGCACATCCTATTACCTGCAGAAATCCCCCCCCTTTTTTTTTTATCACACTAAACCTTGAGTTGGTCCCAGGACTTGCGGGAGATAAATGTGTGCTTACGAAGTCTCTCCTTGTTGTTTTCTTTTTCCTTCCCCCCCTTTTTTGTTGTTGTTTGTGTGTGTGTGTGTGTGTGTGTGTGCATTATAGAAGCAGCACCTTCTTACCCAGATTTTTTTAAAAAACATTGTCTGCCATGAACTTCCTTCCTTCTCATAATGACTTTTGCACAATACACAGATCCTAAAAAAAAAAAGGCAGCTATAAAATGTTTACAGTTTTCTCTGTTAATGCGCAGGATCCGGATTGCTTTTTATCTCTTCCCTCCTCCTCCCCCCCTCCTCCCCCTGGCCAAGTGTGCATGAATTTGTGACTGATAATGAAATATGACCCCCATATGGATGTTCTGATATGCTTTGTTCCCTCCCTTCCCCCCCCCCCAATTGGTTTTTAATGTTTAATTTATGTTTTAAAAGGGAGAGTGGGTGGGTGGTACCTTGTATATAATGTAGCAAATCGAAGATGTGAGATGTTTTAACACCTACATTAATGTTATTACGAACGACATACTTGAGAACTAGGATTATCTAAGATACACCAGGTGCCAAACGCAGAAATACCCTCGCATCTGTTTTTTTTTCTTTTCTTTTTTTTCCTGCTTCCCCTTGTATTTTTGTAGCATCCCCTTGAGATGGTCTCCAGGGGTTAACATCAATATGGAATGGTTTCTTCTTTAGTAGCTTAGCTACCTCCAGACTTCTGAGCTTTAGTTTTGTTTCCTTCTTCAATAATGACATTGTAATAGACGATGTGGCAGGAACAAAATCACTCAAGAAACTGCAGAAATAATTTCATTGGTCTCCAGTCTGACAATCAGTCATCAGGTGCTTCTCACAGACTTCATTGGTGGAGATGGACTGCCCTTGTGCATGCGTCTCCCCGGTGCGGCCATTGCATTATTATCATATTTTTATTTGTTTCTTAAACCGTTCACACTTCCATTTATAGGCATTGAGGTATCCTTGCTGGCTCACTTAATATGTACGTGCTGTTGTGCCTTTTTTTTTCCCCCTTTGGCTTTTCCTTGTTTTAAGTCATGAAAGCCGATGATGTGTTCCGGGAAGAATTTAGGCATCCTTTCCCAGAGATACATAACATAGAAGCTTCCTCTGGTTTCTCTATTTGCTTCAATGAAGGACAGGGTGGATTTGATTTAAATCGAGTTGATTTAAATCACAATTTAAATCATGATTTAAATCACTAGTAAAAAGGCTTGATTTAAATCAACTCGATTTAAAACATAATTTTTAAAAAGCAACTGTCATCTCTGCTACTCCTTTGACCCACTGTTGACTCACCGATAGTCCCAGTGTTGCAGAATATACAGCCTCATGCTACATAACTAAGCTCCATTTCATGCTGAATAGACTAAATTATTTATGTATCCTAAATAGAAAACTATCTTATGATAGATTTTTACCCCAAAAGTTTTTTATTAAAATAAATCCGATAAAAATCAAAAAAATCCGATTTAAATCAAAAAAATCTGATTTTTTTGATTTTTTTTTAAAAAAAAATCATTGATTTTTATCCACCCTGATGAAGGAGCTGATTGAATCGCTCTTCTTCCGTTGGGCTTGCTGTCATTCCCCCACCCCACCTCCTCCCATTGACATATAGAGGAAAGTGGAACGTCTACTATGAATTTTGGCTCTGTGGGGATTTTTGGAGCAAAAATAATGACATGTACTGCTTAATTCTGGGGGAAAAAAAGGCTTCCAGGGGGCTCTTGTATTTGCATTTAAAAGTATATTCAATTTATGTCACCCAGTGGGAGAGAGAAATGTTTCATTTCCCTTACAGTCGTAGCGTGTTCAATGTTCCTAAAATACATTTGTGTTTTCTTTTCTGAGATGGACAAGGTGCATATATTCGAATTCCTATTAGCAATCCTTTTATAGGAGGAGGAGGAAGAGCTATTTTCTTTTCGTTTTGTGATCAGGTGCTTTCATGGGGGCAGGGAGGGAAGATCAACCATTAGTGTTGATTGATCTTTGCTAAATAACAGTAGGATCTATAATAATGTAATAAAAAGACTACACAGATGCAGCGTAGATCTTCTGTAACGCAATATATACTTCAATACTTGGGTTTTGGGCGATTCGAAATCGATTCGGAGAAAGTGCTTTGGAACTCATGCGAGTGTAGCATCCCTTACTTTTCCTTAAATGACCTTGAAGGAAGAGTTTTTAGAGCTGTTTTAATGCACTGACTCCTTAAAGCACCTCGGAAGCTTCACAAATGTCCGTGGCTGCTTCAGGTATTAGTAGAGAGGTGCTGTGTTCCTGCAACGGCTGAAGCATTTGTTTAAAATCATACCGAAGCAAAGACAAGACCTCACACGTACACAAATCCATGCTGTATTTTAGACAATAGGGAAGGTGCTTACCAAATTGTGTGTGGTGTATTAAAATCTTGAAAAGGGATAGGTGAAGAATGAAGCATAGGGAACCATCTTATAGCCAGTTTTAATTGAACAGCTGCTGCAGTTCCATCAGTTATGTGTTTGGAAGTATTTGATCTTCTGCTAATGTGCATCTGCTCCATTTATTCAAATGGAGGAATGTTCTTCATCCCAAGGGACGTCCTTCTACATGAGGAATAACTCAGGATGTGTTTCTTAACATAGAGGGCAAGTGTATATTTCAAAGAAATCTCTGATTTATTTTTCTCTTTAGGACACTATGACTATCTCAAGCAGATATAATCCCGTAGTCTTATAATTACCCACAGGACAAATAAACATTATTCCAAATAACTAAAGTTGTATCTAACGGTAGATGTTTTATGTTCGTTGTTCAAATTCCTAATGAATCGTACTGGTATTGAGTAGGCTGAATTTTTCTGTGAAATGGTTTAATTCTTCCATAAAACATAGGTATAGATTTAGGCAAGTCAATCTCTTTGTTTAGATGTATCTCCTTGAAGGTTGGAGGTGGCAGTAAAAAGGACTACTTTATTAGGAACTAAGTATTAATTGGATCTGTGTTAATTAGGACAATGCAGTGCTCTGGAAATAATTTGGAAAATCTACTTTGGAGCAGCTAAAAAACAGGAACATAACACTTGCTGACAACTCTTTAAAGCTGCCACATCTTATTCTTGAGTGCACACGAACATTTTTTGCAGCTACCCATGACCAAGGCATCCTGCTCTAAAAGAGTTGTTGACAGGTTCATGGTTCTCACTTCTAACACCCCCTTTTTGGAATTGAATCCAGAAGAACATCCATGACTGAGAAAGGGCTTGGCATGAAGCATGCGGAAGGAAAAATCCAATTTTCCCCTAATTTATAGGCTCTTGGGCTGAGAAAGTTTCTTGTTTTTTAAACAGAAACTTGGGGTTCTGGTGTGGATTCAGGAATGGGATGGAGAAATAAATGGACAATATAGCATGTTTTATTTAGCCAAGTCCTGAATATGGCCACTGGATGGATTCTAGTTGGAGTTGGTTTGCATATCCAACATAATTAAGGAGCAAAGAGAATTATTTTAATTTACTCCATGTCTGCAAGTAACCATGTCAGGAAGAAGGGTAGTAGTAACTATTTTAGCAGGGAACTTTCATTGAGATCTTTCTTTTGCTATTTCTTCTGGTTACTTGGGGGAAATTCAAAGTCAGAAAAGTTGGATCAAACAAGGCATTCCAAACAACTATTAATTGGGAATTGTAGTTCTTGCTTGGATTTTACCTCTTGGTTTTCCGTCTCTGTCGCAGTCTCTTCCTAAGATCTTTGATGATCTAGTAATTTCAGTTTTATAGGCTGTAATTGGTATTCCTCAAATTTTTATTATTCTCTAAGAGATCATTCTAGCTTTGTTCCATTCTCTGCTGTCTTTTGACCTCTCCTTAAGCCGTGTATCCTTGCTCTTTGAATTAATAATGATATTTCCAGTAACACCAATATGTCCATTAGATACTAATAATTTAGTAACAGTGACACCATATGATGTTCAACAACAGCAGTCTAGAGGTATTCAACCTTTACGTCTTTTAAGACTCGTGAATTTCAGTGTCCAGAATTCACCAGCCAGCATGGCTAGCTAGGGAACTCTGTGAGTTGAAGTCCACAAGTCTTAAAGTTGCCAAGGTAATGGGCACCCCTGATCCAAAGCGAAAGCTTGCTTTGGGAATTGTGCCTGATTGTGTTAGGTAGCTGGCCAGTAAATACTTGGGCAAAGTAGATTTAAGCGATTCTGTAAGTGGAGACCGGGGGCTTCCATCTACTTGATACAAGGGAATCGTCATATCCATTTTTTATATGATTTGCCTGTTCATACAAAGGGTATTTTACTTGACGCATGTCATTTTCTAACGTTTGAGGCCCTGAACTGCAACTTGGCATGTGCATTTTAGAAGTTATCTTCATTAGGGAGAACGGTGATTGGTGTCTTGAGCAAACAAAAAACAAAAAAATCAGCATGAGTGTGTGTGTGTTTGTGTGTGTGTGTGTGTGTATATATATATTTGTTTTCTTTTCGTAGGCCTTTATGTGTATTTCTCTTTAGCCAGGTTCTTCCTACATAAACCAAGATTTTTATGCAGCCCTAGTTCAGTGAACTCCCAATCCACTAGTTTCTAGGCTTTTTTTCAAGCAGCCAGCAAGTTCCCTGCTGCCCATTGGGAGACTAAGGAGACTAAGATAGTCCAAAGTCCAAAATAGATCTATCTTAGTCTCCCAATGGGCAGCAGGGTGCTTGCTGGCTGCCTGAAAAAAAGACTAGAAACTAGTGGATTGGGATTTCACTGAACTAGGGCCTGGTGGCTCAGCAGACTGATAGCATTGTGATTAACACCAGCTGTCTGCAATTACTGTAAGTTCGAATCTCACCAGGCTCAAGGTTGACTCAGCCTTCCATCCTTTCTAAGGTAGGTGAAATGAGGACCCAGATTGTGGGAGCAATAAGCTGACTTTGTATAAATATACAAAAGTATGAAGGCTTTCGCTTAACACATTGTAAGCCGCCCTGAGTCTCCAGAGAAGGGCGGCATATAAATCAAATTAAACAAAAAAACAAAAAAAACTAGGGCTGCATAAAAATCTTGGTTCACGTAGGAAGAACCTGGCTAAAGAGAAATACATACATACATACATATCCCATAATTAAAGAGATTTGATTACTGCCTACCTGCTTTAAGGCAAGAGATACTTTTGACTTGTTATATATGCTTTCTGTGATTACATGAAATCTTGTGCTACCCTCAACAGCAATAACAGATGCTTCCTTGAAGTTGGGAGAGCATCTGAGAAATGGGTGATCCAATCTATTAAGATCTTCACTAGTTTCTTCTCTCTGGTTCTTTTTTGTCAAGAAACAAAGGGCTTGTGGTTTGTGTGTGTGTGTGTGTGTTAATTAATAAGGGTGGGCCACATCACAAATTCATGAGCCCCACCATCTAATAAGCACTATCTTCTTCACAAAAGCCAGAATCCCTTTAGAAAAATAAATGAGTTTTTAGCAACCAAGACCGTAAGAGTGAAGGGTAGAGACTTGATCTTTTGAAGTGGTTAATTTCTAGATGCTGCTTGAGCCTTCTTGCCCAATTAGAATAAGATAAGTTCCTTCTTATGCCCATGTAGCCCCATATCCCTAAATAGCAGCCAACTCATGTGCTCTAATAATTTTATATAAGGAGGAATATGATTGCCTATAAAATCCTGCCTCTTGCTCTTAGAAACTAGTTCCAAGACATTTCTTAACAATCCAAATCATGTAAAACTAACAGGGATTTAATTTTTATGTCTTTGTTTTGGTTCCTTTTTCGGGGAGGGACGGGGATGGTGGGGAATTCAGAAAAATAGAGGTTAACTTGAATAATTTATCCTAGAGCAGCTGATAACATATTGGAACAAAAGAATGAATTAAAGAATGAATTAGTTTTAGGCTAAGTGCATCAGCAACTTATAGAGGACTGCTTTTGCTTGAGTGTATATTATAATGCTAAATGCTTTTTAAAGATTTGTGCGTTGGCTTCATAAGTTATGCTATAAAATGTCACGAGAATGTTTTCTTTCAATTTTAAAAAAAATAGTGTTAATATTTATAGATAAAAAGCTCCATTTGACACCCAAAGGTGATCAAATAGTCGAAGACTCCTAAAGAGGACTCATGATGTTATTTTTAAAATATGTATTATAAATGACTGTGCATTTACAAGAGATCATTCCCCCCCCCCCCCAACTCTGGCTAGATCAGATGTTTATATTATTTTTTAAAAAAATTGTAATATATCAATCCAGATTTTTTTTTTTTTTGGCAATTATATTTCTTGAGAACATTGAAACACAAAGAACACACAAACACAGAGACATACATACATACATATATATAGATATATATATATAGCTTTGAATACTGAATGCCGGCCTGCAGCAATGCCATCCATATATTAATGGATCGCCAAGAAATATTATTGCAATCATATTGGTCAATTCTCTTTTTAAAAAATGAACCAAAAGCACTCAGTCTCTTGATCTTAAAGGAACACGCCCGAGCGGCCGACTTCCTCTGCTTCGTTTTTCAGTAGAACTGCTAACCGCCTTAACTTCTTCACAGTGTAGAATATGGTGCTTTAAAAATATGTGTGTACGCAATTACGCATGGATGTGTGTCCTTTGTTACTCGAGTCGAGCATTTAAAACAAAGAAACTGGAAACGGTAATAATCCTGCACACCGCCTCTTTAAGTCGATTTTTTTTAAAAAAAAAACACATTTCGATCCAAGTATTCCAGCTCTGAACAGTCCGATATGATTAGTAGATCTCAACCTTGCTTGAATAATGGCTCCTGATCTCTTGAGTTTCCCGTCCTCACTTATGAAGGATGTTATGTCAGAGTAGGATTAAGAGCGCTTGGGGCAGAATGGGAAACTGGCCATGACCAACTCGCCGTGAGATAAGTCAACATTGCCAACTCACCGCGGAAGAATTCAACAATTCGATTTAATTTTTTAAAATAATTTTTAAAATTGTTTTAATTTTTGTCATTCCCATTTCATTCTGTTCCCTCCTTTTGGCACCCTTTCTTTAATGTTTTTATTCCACTGTTTCTTTGATATTAGTGTAATCCTTGTCCCGCAGCGAATTGGCTGTGATGAGTTGGCTGTGAGTTGATGAGGCTGATGAGTTGGCTGTGGTGCTTCCCAATAATGGTTGTCAGTATTGAGGTGTGATGGTAGTGAATTTTAATGAAGTGGTATTAAGCTTATTTTCATCCTTTCGGGCTCTTTTGTTTTAATCTCATGTCGATCGCCTTTCCCCGTTTTCTTTTTTAAATTAAAGCATCACGGAAGCTTTGTTTAGAAATACCGGTTTTCTGCAGTTGACTTTTGAGTTGTATGGAAAATAGTGCCGTTTGAAGGATCTCCTGCATGGATATTGTGTTCTTGACTTCGTGAAATATTTTTGCCAATCCCCCAAATCCTTCCACGAAAAAAAAAAATATAGAAGGTGCACATGATTTAAACTGATTCTATTTTGCTTTTTTTTTTTTTTGTCTTGATTTCAGGGGTTGGTTCCTAAAGTTCATACCTTTGCATCCACTATCTCAGGTCCCTTTAAAATTATAAACGCTTCAGGGATTTTTAATGCCACTTGAGAATGGCAGACCAAATGTAATATTTATATGCAATGAACTATTCGTTTTTTTTGTATTGTAAAAAATGTAAATTTGTAAAGATTTTTTTTTCCTAGAGTTTTTTTTTTTTTCCTGGGGGTGGGTAAAAGACGGGATGGGGATGAATTGGGAGGGCGAGGAATGTCACAATGTAATTTAGGATGTTTCATTTTCCAGCTCTGGGATTATCTTAATAAAAAAAATCATCTCATTCTTTGCATTTTGCTTTCTTGTACTTTGTTAATGCTGGAATACAAAAGAAAGGTAATGATAATAATTGACATTAAACTTGCCACTCCTGAAAATGCCTCTTATTTGCCGTCAGTTCAAGATATGGGAGACCTTCACAAAAAGCCAAAATGTTTGGGAACCATTTTTTTAGAGACATGGAAAGAGACAGTCTACAACCTCAATTGGGATTGGAACTTTTACCCTATAAATTACTCTATAATTCTATAATAATGGAACATTTTGCCAAGAATAGAATAGAATAGAATAGAATAGAATAGAATAGAATAGAATAGAATAGAATAGAATAGAATAGAATAGAATAGAATAGAATAGTGCATAGTATAGTATATAGTATAGTATATAGTATAGTATGGTATAGAGTATAGTATAGTATAGGAATAGAATAGAATAGAATAGAATAGAATAGAATAGAATAGAATAGAATAGAATAGAATAGAATAGAATAGAATTCACACAAGGAATTTGTCTTTGGTGTATATGCTCTCAATGTACATAAAAGAAAAGATACATTTGTCAAGAATCATAAGGTACAACACCTAATGATAGTCATAGGTTACAAATAAGCAATCGGGAAACAATTTCAATATAATTTGTAACGATACAAGCAACAAAGTTGCAGTCATAAGTGGGAAGAGATGAGTGATAGGAACAATGATAGTAATAGTAATGCAGACTTAGTGAATAGTTTGACAGTGTTGAGGGAATTATTTGCTTAGTAGAGTAATGGCATTTGGGAAAAAACTGTTCTTGTGTCTAGTTGTTCTGGTGTGCAGTGCTCTATAGCGTCGTTTTGAGGGTAGGCGTTGAAACAGTTTATGTCCAGGATGTGAGGAGTCTGTAAATATTTTCACAGCCCTCTTTTTGACTCGTGTAGTATGCAGGTCCTCAATGGAAGGCAGGTTGGTAGCCATTGTTTTTTCTGCAGTTCTAATTATCCACTGAAGTCTGTGTCTGTCTTGTCTGGTTGCAGAACCAAACCAGACAGTTATGGAGGTGCAGATGACAGACTCAATAATTCCTCTGTAGAACTGTAAAGTAAAGAAGTAAAGGAAACCACCAGAAATTCTTACTCCTACTGAGGACAATCATTCAAGGGGGGAAAAAGTCAATATTCTAATTAATCTGCCCAATAGAGGAAATTAGATTTACAGCTAGTGATTCAGGGAGCTTGTATAAAAAACGGGGGTGCAGGAGTGATTTCTGTAGCATCATGGCCAAATGCATCTTCCAACCCACAGAAAGGGCTGCAGCTTCTTCGATGAAGGCAAATGATTTCCAAGGGCGGCTTTGACTAGAAATAAGGGCTAAAGTGAGCCAGGGGTCTTAGCTAAAAATGAATGTTCTCGGATGTTCTGCCTTCTTTCAGAAAAGGGAAGTTTGGAGCCCTCATGGGAAGCAAAAGAGGATATTTGAAGCAGAGACCCCCTATGTGAGGCAGATGGGCGGTTAAAGGGGTGTGAAATAAGTGAATAGATAGATAGATAGATAGATAGATAGATAGATAGATAGATAGATACCGTGTTTCCCCAAAAATAAGACACACTCTTATATTTTTTGAACCACGAAATAAGTGCTTGGCCTTATTTTTGGGGAGGCCTTATTATTTTGGGGTGCGCAGAGCAATATGGGACTCCTCTTGCCGTCTTACCTGATTTCCACCTCTGTCTCCCTAACCAGAGGAAATGGCGGGGACCGGCTACGCATACATTTAAATTTTGGGGGGGGAGGTTTTATTTTCGGGGAGAGCTTATTTTCAGGGAGGGGCTTATTTTAGCGCATGTGCTCAAAAGCCCGGTTGGGCTTATTATCAGAGGATGGCTTATTTTTGGGGAAACATGGTAGACAGACAAACAGGATGGATGGATCTGAGTGGATGGATGGATCTGGATGGATCTAGATAGATGGTGGCAATAGGGGAATCACATGACTCCAGGACACTACAGCCGTCATAAATACATGCCAGTTGCCAAGCATTTGAATTTTGACCAAGCGACCACAGGGACGTAACATCCGTAAGGGTGAAAAATGATCGTGTTGCTCTTTTCAGTGCCATTGTAACTTCAAACGGTCACTAAACGTACTGTTGTAAGTCAAGGACTACCCACACTCTTATTTTATACTGACTTTCACTGGTGGAGTTCTGGATTCATCTAAGCATTTGAACGCTCAAGGACGTTGTGAAAACGAGCCCGCTATTTCCATAGCCCATCCTGGACTATTATTTCTCCCACCCTCAAGAGAAGAGAAGCAGAGAAAGGTCAGGAAACCAAAACAACATTTAAAGATGTCAACCAAACACCTGTATCCGGACTAAAAGGACGTAACTCCCAAAGCACAAATGTACTTCGGAAGACGAGTTAACGTGACACCTGTTACCAATTCTCAGAAGGCTTAATGGGGAAGAGGGCAGGGCCGAAGGGGAACAGCGAGTTTTTCTTGTTGCTCTTTAGGTACACAATGAGCTTCCCCAAACCTAATCCACCCCTTGCGCAGGCTGCATCCAAGGAGATTAGGACCGAGCCGTTTATATTCCTGCTGATGACATAGTGACATGCAACAGGTGGGAGAAACAGATGGAAAGTTAAAAAAAAAAAATTCTAATTAATAAAATCAGCAACACCTTAAAACTCAGGTTTAAAAATAGAATCGGACTACCTTTGTACCCAATGCGCACCTGAGATCAGGACGATGGCTACAACCTCTGAGAGAAAATACGCACACAAAACACAACCTAAAGGTCTTTTCTACCCAGGCGGTTGCAAATCTCAAAAAACGGAGCTGGCGTCTGTCGTACATCCTAAGGATCTGCTGCTGGTACCTACATCGGGCCCAGTTTAAAAAGAAAAGGCTCCAACTGGTTTTCCAATCTATCTCAGGCAGATGCCTCATTTTTCGACCGGCAGAGTGCTGCTGGAGGCCAGAGAAGCTGAAAAGGGACCTTGCGAGGGTCTCGTGGGGCCTCCGCGCACCCTGTTTTGGCCAGCAAAGTGCTGCAGGAGACTGTTCAGGCCAAAAACGGGCCGCATGGTGGCCTTGCAGAGTCTCCATGCCAGGCGTGAAATCCAGCAGGTTCTGACAGGTTCTGGAGAACCGGCAGCGGAAATTTTGAGTAGTTCGGAGAACCGGCAAATACCACCTCTGTCTGGCCCTAGAGTCAGGTGGGAATGGAGATTTTGCAATATCCTTCCCCCAGGAGTGGGAGGGAATGGGGATTTTGTAGTATCCTTCCCCTGGAGTGGGGAGGGAATGGGATTTTGCAGTATCCTTCCCCTGGCACGCTCACAAAGCCACACCCAACAAGCCACACCACGCCCATCAAGCCATGCCCACAGAACCGGTAGTAAAAAAAATTGGATTTCACCACTGCCCCCCGTTTTGGCCATCAGGGTGCTGCAGGAGGCATCCGTCCCATCTTTACCCTCCCCCCGCTTCCCGTGCCCCCCTGCCCCCCACCAGCCCGCGGGGAACTACAGTGCTGATCTGGCCCTCGAAGAAATCCAGTTTGGGATTTCCTTTCAAAAGCAAATTGCCTTCCGTCAAATGGAATGAAAAACCAGAAGGAAGGGGGGGAAAAAAACAAAAGGAAAGAGGCAGGAAGGTTTTTCTGCACACCTCCCTGAGTACCAGAAACAGAAGATTCAGTTGCCCAACTGGGCCTGAAGATTAGATGGAGAAGGTTGCCGGGTTGAGTCTCTCCTTCACATGCTACCTGCAGGGGTTTCCGGCTTCTCCTGCAGCCTGCCTAAACCCTTTGCTCATATCAGCTTTCCCAGACTGCGTGTTACTGAATATGATTCATTCTGCAGATAGCTGCATTGCCATGAAGCCTGAATCTTCCTGAGCCCCAAGGCAGAAACGGTGCTAGTGCCGATTTCCTGGACCTCTGACATCCTGTCTCTTCCATCTGACCTTGACTTGAAAAGCTGGTTTCCATAAACAACTCCACCTAATTGCTTTGTAGCAAAGACAGAATCGTTTTTTTTAGGATTGGCCTTTCCAACCTCTGGTTTGTTCAGAGCTGAAGTGTGAGACCTCACGTGATGTCCCCTAAGCATGTTTTCTCCTCTCAGCCCTTCCATACGTTCAGTGTGCGAATTCGGATGCAATTCATGACGCCGTTATTCTTTTGATGGCACCCGGTGCTTCCAATTTCTTTGACTTCTTAGGTACTTCTGTACCTAATGTTTATTCTCAAAAATTGCACCCAACTTCATTATGACGCATGTCAGCTTTCCTTCCTTCCTTCCTTCCTTCCTTCCTTCCTTCCTTCCTTCCATCCATCCATCCATCCATCCACCATTTCTTGCCTTCCTTTCTCTCCCTTCACCTCCCTCCCTCCCTTCCTTCCCCTTCCTCCTCATTGTCTGTTTTTTTTCTTTCTTTCTTTCTTTCTTTCTTTCTTTCTTTCTTTCTTTCTTTCTTTCTTTCTTTCTCTCTTCCTCTTTCTTTTTTCTTTCTTTTTTCTTTCTTTCTCTTTCTTTTTTCTTTCTCTTTCTTTTTTCTTTCTTTTTTTTTTCTTTCTTTATTTTTTCTTTTTTTTCACTGCCTTTCTTTCTCTCTGCCTCTTTCTTTTTTTCTTTTTTCTTTCTTTCTCTTTCTTTATTTTTCACTGCCTTTCTTTCTCTCTGCTTCTTTTTTTCTTTCTTCTTTCTTTCTTTTTTCTTTCTTTTTTCTTTTTCTTTCTTCTTTCTCTTTATTTTTCACTGCCTTCCTTCCTTTCTTTTTTCTTTCTTTCTTTTTTCTTTCTCTTTCTTTATTTTTCACTGACTTTCTTTCTTTCTTTCTCTCTGCCTCTTTCTTTCTTTTTTCTTTCTTTCTCTTTATTTTTTCCTTCCTTCCTTCCTTCCTTCCTTCCTTCCTTCCTTCCTTCCTTCCTTCCTTCCTTCCTTCCTTCCTTTCTTTCTTTCTTTCTTTCTTTCTTTCTTTCTTTCTTTCTTTCTTTCTTTCTTTCTTTTGAAA